TTTAAAAGAGCTGATTTCAACAAACTTAGAGAGAGCTTGGGAAGAATTCCATGGATGAAAATTTTAATGGGAAAAACAACTCAAGAAGAGTTGGGAAACTAAAAAATATAATTAATTATAAAAGCCCAATCCAACACAATACCTCTAAAAAAGAAAAATAAGAACTCCAAAAAGAAACCAGCATGGGTACACAAAAACTGAAGAGCAAACAGAATAACTGTAAAAAATGGAAAGAGGGACACATAACTAAGATAGAGTACCAGCATAAAGCCCAAATCTGCTAAGATGAAGTCAGGAAAGGTAAGGCTCAGAATGAACTAAGACTTGCAACAAATGTCAAAAATAACAATAAAAAAGTTTCTTTCAACATGTGAAAAATAGTCAAGGAAACAATTGGTCCACTAATGGGAGGAAGGCAGCAGGGAGAAGGCAGAGCTGCTTAATTCTTTCTTTGCACCTATCTTCACGTAAAAAGAAAAAAAAAAACACAACCAACCAAAACAGAACTATAAAAGACAGGCTAGGATTACAAATTAAAATAGGCAAGAAAATAGTAAAAGAACACCTATCCACTCTAGATGAATTCAAATCCCCAGGACCTGATGGATTACATACCAGAGTTCTGAAGGAGCTGGCAGACATGATCTCAGACCATTGAACCATATATTCCAAAGATCCTGGAGCATCAGGTAACAACCAGAGAACTAGTAAAAGAACTGATTGGTTCCCATCTTCAAAAAAGGGGAGAAAAAGAGATCTAGCAAACTGCAGACCAATCAGCCTGACATCAATACCTGGAAAAATCCTGGAAAAGATAATCAAGCAATAGATTTGCAAACACCTAGAGGCGAGCAAGTTTATAACTAGAAACCAATATCGTTGGTCAAAACAGATCATGCCAAACAAATCTTATCTCATTCTTTGTCAATTAGTGGATCAGTGAAATGCTGTGGATGAAATATACTTGGATTTCAGTAAAACATTTGAAAAAGTAGATCTCAACCTACTTCTTGTTAAACTGTAAAAATGTGTGATAGACAGCATCACCACCAGATGGATTTGTAATTGGTTAACAAATGGCGTTCAACATGTAGCAGTGTGGGATTCCGCCAGTTCGCACCACTTCGGCAGAACTAGTAGCATATTTTTTGTTGCCCAAGCCCAGAATGGACTTCCGGAAGCGGCATCCATACAGAGAACCAGTTATTCACATATTTGAATCCCACCATGACATGTAGTCCTTAATGAAACTACATCTACATAGAGGGAAGTAAGCAGTGGTGTACCCTAGGTTCTGTTTTAGATCCAGTACTCTTCAATATATTTATAAATGATTTAGATGAGGGAATAGAAGGTGAACAGATGAAACCAAGCTGGCAGGAATAACCAATACCCCAAAAGATCGGCTCAAAATCAGATGGATCTCAACAGACTTGAACACTGGGCCCTATCTAACAAAATGAAATTCAATGGAGAGAAAAGTAAGGCTTTACACTTAGGCAAGAAAAAACAAATGTGCAGGCACAGATTCGGGGAAATGTGGCTCAATAGTAGTAACAGTGAGAGGGACCTTGGAGTTCCAGTGGATAATCACTTAAATATGACCCAGCAATATGCTGCAGCTATCCAAAAAAGTCAGTACAATCCTAGGTTGCATTAAGGGATGCAATCAAGATCACATGAAATTTATAATGCCTTGGTTAAGACCACACTTAGAATACTGCATCCAGTTTTGATCACCACAATATAAAAAAGATGTTGAGATTCTAGAAAGAGTGCAGAAAAGAGCAACAAAGATGGTTAGGGGTCTGGAGGCTAAAACATATGAAGAACAATTGCAGGAATTCTAGTATAGTGAAAAGAAGGACTAGGGGTGATATGATGGCAGTATTCCAGTATTTGAGGGGCTCCGACAAAGAAGAGGGAGTCAAATTATTATCCAAAACACCAGAGGGCAGGACAAGAAATAATGGATGGAAACCAATCAAGGAGAGAAGCAATCTAGAACTAAGGAGAAATTTCCTGAAAGTGAAAACAATTAACCAGTGGAACAGCTTGCCTTCAGAAGTTGTGGATGCTCCAATACTGGAGGCTTTTAAGAAGCTTTTAAGAGGCTTTTAAGAGGCTTTTAAGAAGAGACTGGATAGCTACTTGTCTGATATGGTACAGGGTCTTCTGCCTGAGCAGGGGGTTGGACTAGAAGACTGTGTTATTCTACCACATATTTAGTTGCTAAAACTGATCATAAACTACATTATCGGGGAATAAAAATAAAAAAATAAATAAAATAGTAAAAGAAAAATATATAAGTAAGAATAAGTCATATGCCACTATCACAAGATTCTGTGTAACCTAAAGTAGCACACTAGCATTTAAAATACATTCTAATTCTTACTTAAGCAGAGAAAGAAGACAATATTCTGGCTTCTGCAAGAAGCAACTCTGTCAAACTGGGCTTGTCTTTCAAATTTCAAGACAGGTGCCCCCTAAAGTATATTCCCACACATTCCATATTCCACATCTGTTGTCCACACCATTTTAGGCCTCCGCAAGAACAGCAGGAGTTTTTAAAATGTGGGATATAAAATGTTAGCTAATCTCATACCACATCTATCTGCATACAAGCACTCATGCCATTTCTAAACAAGATTTATGTCATAAAAACATTTTTAGGCATGATTAAATTTCACTAAGCAACAATGTTAGCACTGATATTTTTCCAACCAAATTATGATGCACAAATGTAGTTATTTTATACAATTTAATTAGTAGGGTACATCTGAATATATTTTATATATAAAAGTGCATTTTACATATGTTTTACACTTATATTTTATTTATTTATTTATTTATAATGCTATATATTACAGAATGTTAAAAATCTTTAATATTTCTCTCACTATGTAGTATTTCTATGAAACATAGATCCTGTATAATTTATCTATATTGTAGAATTTGCTTAACATTTAAAATATGATTTTCAAAATTCTTATCTATGTGAATTTAATACTTTATATGAGGTCTGTATTTTAGATTGCTATGCTGTTTTGTCACAAGAAAAATAATAATAATAATTAAAAAAAACAGAAACAAAAGCCAGGAGCAAAATAAATTAAGCAAATAAAATTATTCTCATCACTTACTGGAACTGACATATATGCTATTTTTTCTGTTACATCAGATGAAAATATGCTATTTCCCTATAACATAAACATGATGTTTAGCCTACAGACATTGTAGTGATTTATATGGGAATTATTAATCAGATTACAAACAGATTCCTTAACTTTATTCAAACTTTGAAATTCTGTTCTTATATTCATGTTATAAAGTCATATGATAATATATAAAATCCATTCTGTGTTTTGCAAATAAAAATGGAGAGTTATTTGAGTTGAGTTTTCATTTGGGACTTAAGTATCTCAGATGATCATAAAGTTATCACACCATACCATAATAATAATAATAACTATAATATAATATCTCATGGAGGGCTTGGCACACAGATGGTGCAACTGTCCTGGCCTTCCTGTGTCTGTCAGAGACTACTGATACTATTAACCATTACTGATATATTAACTATTATCCTTAAGGGCTGGCTGCAGGAACTGAGAAGCACTGCCCTGCAGTGGTTCTCCTCCTTTCTCTATTGGCCAATTTCAGTCAATCTTGGGGGGAAAATCCAGCCCTAGACATGTGGGATGCAAATAACCATCAGTCTGCTGATGGTACCAGATTATACATCTCCACCTTTGGCCAGGCAGTTGATGCCATTTGAGTTCTGACTCAGTTTCTGGAGATTGTGAGGGTCTGGGTGGAGAAGAAGCAGTTCTGGCTCATTTTAGCAAGATGTTTGGAATTTTGGCTTCCCTAGATCCAATTATGTATTATCTTTGATACTTGATGGAGTAACATTTCCCCAATCAGGGATAGTATGCAATTGGGGATATTCTTCTAGATCAGATGAAGTAGGCACACTTAAGGTCCCTTCTCTATATTGTTGCCATCTAGTGGGGTCTAGGAAGTACGGTTTTTGTTTTGATTTGTTTGCCATAGCAGCCCTGCCCTTGAAGTACTCTCCCTTGAGATCTGTCTGGTTTTAACTTTCTGGAAAGCTGTTAAGAGCTGGCTCTTCTTCCCCCAGATGTTCTGAAAGTAAGGTTGAAGCCTGGAGATTATATAGATGAACAGATGTAGATGATAGACTGGGCACCCAAATATATATTATTTATGTGAACATCTTTTGGGCAGACAAAAAGTATCAACCATATTGATTTAATATATTGTATTAACTTTAAAAATCTCTTTAAAACATAGTTTGCATTTTAAAAATTGGTTGTGAATATCCATTTTTTCACTGCAAAATTTATGTTCTAGAGCGCACGTACAAAAAAAGTTAGCCAAAGACCGCACATTTTGTAAAAATTTGCTCTATGATTTTTAAAATATCAAATTGCAGCAAACTACATTTAGTTTTTCCCATAAGACTGCAACTTTATTGCATCACTAACTAAATCTAATTTTTGTGCAATAAATTGTGAAATGTACTTGGATCTCCTTTGGTCATCTTCCAGAATCAATGCACCTCTGAAGTGAAGGATATAGTTTTTAAGTCAGAACAACATGCGGATGCTGCTTTAGGAAACAATCAACATTTGTTTATAGGAAAAAAAGTGTGCCTCAAGCTGAGAATACAATGCTCCCAGGGTGTTTGAATTACAGGACAGATGTTGCTGGATTTAAAGAAATGGGTGTGCAACCAATCAGCTACAAACACATATAATATTTTTAAATGGTCTCTTTGGTCTCTTTTTTTTCATTAATTGGTCATGGGAGCCAAGTGAACATGGTAACTTGTTCTCTTATTGTTGACTTTTAAAGCATTCTCAAAAATACTTGAGACACAGGGGGGCAACAGTGGGGTGTGTGAATATGTGCAGTCTTATGTGTCAGATATTTAGCTTGACTGAGAAATAATGTCCTATTTATTCACAAAGCAGATGTGGTGAAGGCAGCTCTGATGCAAACTTCCTCTGTGTGCTTTGCCAAGGATTTCAACCCTGACCCACAGAGACATTCACTACAGGAGGTGAGAAGCAATTTACTTTCCAGGCTTAAATCAGATGCTGGCTCTGCCAAATGTGAGAAATGGGATGCTTTGAAGACTCAGACTCTGTGTTGCTGACAGTGGAAAAGGGGAAATTTTGACATAATAAATTCCCATTCCCAAGAGTGGGCAGAAGGCAATCTTTGCTTTTTAGAAAGAACCATATTTCCTTGTTCATAAAAAGCTAAACCATAGCTTGGTGTTACATCCTGACACGGCCTAAATTTTTCAAGGCAAGCAGATTACCTTCCATATACTCTCAAAATAGGTATCAATTCAAAGTCAAAATTTCTCAGAGGATATATCTACCTTCAGAATGTATAAATGCCATATTGACCTCCACTGTGACTTTTGCAGCTTAAGGCTGTACCTCAAAACATCAACCTTCTATTAAATATCATTTTTCCTCTTTAACGCTTTGTAAATATAAAATATTAATTCTCTCTAATTTGGAGAAATCCAGATGCACTGGTCTCCCCCATAACCCCAAGAAGTTTCACCAATGAAAACTGAAGGCCAAGATATCTGGACGACATAGTGTCAGAGAAGATTTTGTTTTATTATATATTAACCTGTTCTGCTTGTTCAAGAGAGGTCATAATTCTATCTTTCCAAAGAAATTTCATAGCTGAGCAGGAACTTAAACTATGGTTTTCTAGCTCTTCTCAAACAACTATATCACATCATTGTCCTTTGAATGTGAGCCACAGAAATTCTGAAAAACTGTATAGTGCAGGAATAACCTCGATGGAAATAAAAATTAGTACCATCAGTCATTAATAACTCATAGCCATTGGTGAGATAATTCTTCCTTCATTCCAGAAAAGATTTATAATAGTTGAATCACACTACTATGTTACTGCGTTTTCCTGCATAGTTGCATTTACTTATATACATTCAATAATGTTAAAAAAATATCAAGATAAATTAGAGTATTTTTAAGTCTGATTGTCAATTTGTCATTGCCTTAGGTCTCCAAAGTGTCCGCTCCTTAAAACATTAAAATGGGCAGACAGCACTCCCATTTGGGCAAAAGGAGAGAGAGAGAGAGAGAGAGAGGAAGGGAGGGAGGGGGAGGGGGAGGGGGAGGGGGAGGGAGAGGGAGAGAGAGAGAGAGAGAGAGAGAGAGAGAGAGAGAGAGAGAGAGAGAGAGAATAGACAGACAGATCTAAGTCTTAGATTGCATGCTGAGAATCCAGGACAGTGTAATCCTGGAAGAATTTTAATATCCTTGCTGAGACTATCCAATTTTATATTGCTCAAAATTTAACAGATTACATAACAGAAGAACTTTTTTCCCTGAGTTGGTCAGGAAGAGTGCACTTTGAAAGTGGGCCACTTTAACATCTTACTAGTTATTGTAGACAGATAACTATAGATTACTCTTCTCAGTCATATGACTATTGCTACTTATTCTGGGATTTTACTTGAGGAAGGTGAGTATAAAAGTTTAAACAACCCAAAGTGTTTCCCCTCTACAGGCAGTCCTCGACTTAGAACCATTCTTTTAGTGACCGTTCAAAGTTACAACAGCACTGAAAAAAGTGACATGACATGACATTTTTCACACTCATGACTGTTGCAGCATCCACATGGTCATATGATCAAAATTCAGATTCCACTTGGCAACTTCATATTTATCACAGTTGCAGTGTCCCGGGATCATGTGATCACCTTTTGCCACCCACTGAGTCTTATTTCTCTCTTCAGTTCTATATTTGCTGCTCTTTTTCCTTCCTAAAAGAGTTTTGGCAATTATAAAAAGCATTATGAAATAAATAAAATGTAATATTAAAATAATAAATTCATAAAATAAAAATATAGAGATTTTACACTATCTACAGCCATTAAAAGAGAGTAAGCAGCATTTTTAAATAAGTACATAAGCATTAAATAAATTAGACGACCAAGAAAATTCCATTACTCTTAAAATATAACCTTCAAGTACAAATTGTGGTCTATGAAGGATATATTTAAATGCATAACATATCCAAAGATAGCTCCATAACTTTATTTCTTACAAATAATTTTATTTCTCAGCTTTGAAGAGTGACATATAAAACAGCTTCTTGTTAGAGAGTGGTTGGAAGTTAGGCAACATATAAATTTCATTAATTAAATTAATATACTGTATGTCCCAATGTAGATCAGAATCAAATAGCTTGTGCCATTTAATTCATGGGAAAAAATTATGTGTTCAAAACTCTCCTTTTCCTCTTCCAGAAAAGAATAAATACTCTAAGAAAGTAGGAAGCAGAGGAACCAACTGTCTATATATATAAAAATATAACATTAAAAAACATCAGCGTTTACATTTTGTTTCTCAATTCAGGACAATTACATTTAGAAATGCAAGTTTAAATATTACATTCAAATAGAATACCATTCATACAAAAATAACTTATATGAAATACTTACTCCACAAAAACACAGCACATAGATGATAATATAAAAATAATGGTGAAAATAAAGTAATAGGTAAATCAGAAAAATCGGAGTTAGTACTCATACACATAATTTTTCTCATTATAATTACAAATCTAATATTAGTAATAACACCACTGTTTTGGTAAAAACATGGATCAGAGAAATAGTTTTTCATGCTTATGAATCATAACACTTCTAATCCAGCCTTTGAAGAATTTAGTTTTCCCATTTTTGTTCCAATTAAAAAAATATTTCTCGTTCCTTTTTGTTGTATTAAATTGTATGCAATAGCCATTAATACAAAACCACTTTAGCAGAAACTTGCAAAGCTTTCATTGTCATTACGTCTTTCAAGGCAATCTTTCTGCAGAGATCTTAACATGGATTGGAAAAGTTCTAAAAACTTTGGGTGACATCATCCAAATGCATTGAAGCAGTACAGATTTAAATTACATTATGTGGTTTGACCGCTTAATTCTGAATTAATGAAATAGTTGCTTTATTTATTGATAAAGATTAAGAAGAGCCGTCTTGAATCAGACAAAGCATCTATTTAGTCTAGCACCCTGTTTCCCACAGAAGCAGTCTGATGCCACCGCAAAATTCTTCAAATATCATCCCTAGTTTAATAATCCAACAATTTCTTATGGGGTCTAGTTAAAAAAAAAAATTGTGCCTGAAGCAGGTGAGCAAATACAGCCTCACTCCTTGCTTTCCTGAGGGAAAATCCAATATGAAAGGGAAAGTGTAACCAGGTAGACAATTGGAGAAAGCGAGTCAGCCTAGCTTTTTGTAGTCCACTCAATGGTGGGATTCAGCTGGTTCGCACCACTTCGGCAGAACCGGTAGCTAATTTTTTGTTGCCCAGGCTCAGAATGGACTTCCGGAAGCGGCATCCACACAGAGAACTGGTTGTTCACGTATCTGAATCCCTCCACTGATTCTACTGGATAGTATATCAACGGCCTCCTCTTGTACCACTTGTTGAATCTTTCTCAAATACTCCTAACCACACTTTCCCCTTTTGAAACCCCTCAGATTTTTCAAACCACCACAATTCACAAGCTTTTCCACTTAGTTCAATTACAAGAATAAGTAAACAAATGACAAATAATCATGTGATGTACATTTGTTCATATAGCTGCAAAAATAATTTCAATATTGTTAAAAGTTTATTCTTCCGTTTCACTAAACAATAAATATTTAATATGAATACTACACTTCCGGGGAGAGGGGTGAAGGTGTAGTGAGAGAAAACTTAATCTTTTTACCAGATACACTAGCCTTCTTGTCAAGCTTTTGATTTTAGCATTGCAATAGCTGTGCTCAGGAAGAAATGCACATTTTGGGAGGTATTATCCACAAAGGTACGATACACTTAACCTGTAATCCCAAAGTGCAAGTTGGACATGAATTTTTTAATTGGACAAAAAGTTAATTTACTATGCATCCCATCTACTTAGAGGAGTTGCCATTATGAATACCTACAGACAAAATTTATTTATTTATTAAATTTATTTGCCACCCATCTTGTTTCAAAGCACCCATGGGCAGCTTTCATCATAAAAACCATCAAAATCATCAAATATAAATATACATCCAATAAAATCCCAGTACCACCAGAATTAAATCATTGACACAAGTTGGAGAAGGAAACAGCCAGATGCAGGGGGCGAGGTGGGATTGGCTCTTACTTAATCAATCAGCTCCAGTTTAAAACTCCCCCAACTGAGGCCCCAAGTCATCTGTCAGAACTAGGTCTTAAGGCTCTTATGGAAAGTCAGATGAGTAGAAGCTGATCTCACTTTTGGGGATAAGATATTCCGAAGTGCAGGAGCCATGGCAGAGAAGGCTCTTCTCCTGGACACCACCCCCCAGCTGAAATTCCTTGACTGGTAGGATTTGCAGTATGCCCCCTCTACAGATGCATGTGGGGTGGGCCAGTCCCACCAGGGTGAGATGGTTCCTCAAGTAACCTGGACCATGTAGGGCTTTAAAGGTAATAACCAAGCACCTTGTATTGCACCTGAAAGTAAACCAACAACCAGTGCAGCTCATGGAATAGTGATGTAATAGGTCCTAAGAAGTCCCTGTGCTGCATCAGCTATAGCTTCCAATTGCTCTTTAAGGTAGCCCCATTTAGAGCACATTGCAGTAGTCCAACTGTAAGATGACTAGGGCTTGAATGACTGGGCGCAGGGACTCCTGATCCAGAAAAGACCGCAGCTGGTGCACAAGACAAAGTGCAAATGCTCTCCTAAGCCACGACTGCCACCTGCTCTTTGAGCAGAAATCATGAGTCCAGGAGAATCTTCAAACTGTAGACCGTGTCTGTCTGAGGTAATGCCATCCCATCCAGAGCTAAAGATGTTAAAACCCCAGATCTTGAAGCTTCATGCACCCAAAGCCATTCGGTCTTGCCAGCCAAAGCTTGTTGTCCCTAATCCAGGCCCTCACCAGCCACCAAGTACCATGAGAGGGCAGTCACAGCATCATTTGGATCACCAGAGGTGGAGATACAAAGTTAAATATCATCAGCATATTGATGATATCAAATACCATGGTGAAGGATGGTCTTATCAATGGTCATTCAGTAGTCCCTGCCAATACAAAACCAAATATAAATCCTATTTATTTCAATGCAGCTGTCATGATTTTTTAAAATCTCCATTAACTAATGGCCATTCAGTTAGATCTATGTGTTAGATCAATGTATTAGGTGGCCCACCAGAAGAATTTTGCTAAAATTCAGGGATAATGTACAGTAGCACATAGACAAAACAAATAGATCTTTCAACAGGGAAGAAAATCTAGATTCTTACAATAATTACCCTAAGGAAAAATAGTAACAAGGTCAGGAAAGACCTGGGCCTCTTCTTTGAAATCTAGATAATCTATTTTAGTCTAGTTCTTAATCCTTCAGAAATACAGTACAATGCAATCTGATTATGCAGCTGTGCCCTGAACTTCAACTGGAAGAAGTTCCAATAGGAAGAAAATCATCATCATCATCGTTGTCATCGTTGTCATCATCATTTGGACTTTTGTTCAATCCCTGGGAATAGGGGTGAGGATTTAAAAAGACTAGAGGAACTCATGAAAATTTCAAACTGGAAAAAGAACGGAGCTACATATCACCTATCTTCAAACTCCATGTATACTATGCCAAGTTTTTTTCTAATTTTTATGGGAATTATAAAATTACAAAACCCAGAACCACCAAAAAGGCATAGAAACAGTTTGACTCATCTAATTTGAGCCAGTTCCTCTGTTCAGAGATGGATTTCTGAAAATAAGGGGGAATAAGTTTGTGAACGTACCTTGACTACTTTAAGAAACTAAGCATGGAGGAAGACAATTGCAAATCACTTCAGTATTGTATTATTGTTAATAAAACTACATGGATATGGTCATGAAGTCATCAGGAGTCCAGCCCGAAGAAGAAATGCATGTAAATGAAGCACTGTGAACACAAACAGAACTACTAATTAAAACTCACTCTCCCTTTTGTTAAGCAATAAACATTCACTAGAATAAGATCGGTGGAATTACCTTAGTCTTAGAACATACGGATCTAAAACTGTAAACCTATGCCACTTAATCTACTAGTAGTGCATTGAGTATCACACAGTAAGCAAAATAAACTTTTTACAAAAAAGTTTAGAAAAACAAGTTAGAGACCTCATACAATCTCCTTCAGATGTAAAGATCTTCCAGAAGTTTGTAAAAACCAAATTCTTTCAGAGAGTATTTAGGGAAGGATTAGGTTCACCCCTGGTTATTTTTTTGCACTATTATGATTATGTTATTATGTCTTGATATTATTGATATTTTGATTTGTTCTTTAGTTTCTATATTATGTCTGGGTTTTTTCTACCATGGATATTTTATTAAAATATTGTAAATTGCTGTGAGTTTGTTAGCAGTCATTAACATAAATAGGAGTATTAACAATATAATAATAATAATAACAACAACAACAACAACAACAACAACAACAACTCAATGGAGGAAATACCATAAAGGCAATCAACACCTGGGCAATTCCAGTCATTAGGTACACAGCTGGAATAGTGGACTGGACTCAAGCAGAACTAAAAGCAATGGATAGGAAGACCAGAAAAATAATGACAATGAATCATGCCCTTCATCCACGCAGTGACATTGACAGACTTTATCTAGCAAGGCAAATAGGTGGGCGTGGAATGCTACAAGTACATCAGATGGTTGAAGAAGAAAAAATGGCTTTGGAAGAATATCTGAAGAACAATGATGAAGATGCACTGAAATTAGTATATCAGGAAGGCTTACTGACTACTGGAGAGACCAAACTGGCCTACAAGAAAGACCAAATGAAGAACAGAATAGAGGCATGGGAAGACAAAGCACTACATGGCCAGTACATTAAAAAAAATAGCTGGGAAAGCAGATAATAACAAGACCTGGCAATGGCTAAGAGCAGGAAAATTGAAGAAAGAGACCGAGGGACTAATTCTGGCTGCACAAGACCAAGCCTTAAGGACAAATGCATACAAAGTCAAAATTGAGAAGACAGCAACAGACAGTAAGTGCCGCCTATGCAAAGAAGCTGAAGAAACAGTGGACCACTTGGTAAGCTGTTGCAAGAAGATTGCACAGACTGACTACAAGCAGCGGCATGACAAAGTAGCAACAATGGTGCATTGGAAGATCTGCAAAAAATATCATTTGCCTGTAAGCAAAAACTGGTGGGATCATAAAATAGAGAAAGTCATAGAAAATGATAAAATTAAACTGCTCTGGGACTTCAGAATTCAAACAGACAAGCACCTGCAACATAACACCCCAGACTTAACAATTGTCGATAAGAAAGACAAAAAAGTCTGGATAGTGGACGTGGCAGTGCCTGGAGACAGCAGAATAGAAGAGAAAGAACTGGAGAAGATAACAAAATACAAAGACCTACAAATAGAAATAGAAAGACTGTGGCAAAAGCAAGCAAGGGTAGTACCAATAGTAATAGGCTCCTTGGGTGCAATCCCAAAACAACTGGAGCACCACTTGAACACCATTGGCATTGACAAATTCGCTATTAGTCAATTGCAAAAGGCGGCCTTATAGGAACTGCTTCCATCCTGCGACGATATCTGTAATACCATCAAACATCCACATCTGCCTATCCCAGGTCCTGGGTAAGGACTCGATAGGTAGACAAAATGCCAAATCCAGTCTGAACATCTGGCTGATTGTGCGATGAACCATAATAATAATAAAGTTGGAAGGGACCTTGGAGGTCATCTAGTCCATCCCCCTCCTCAGGCAGGAAACCCTATACCATTTCAGACAAATGGCTGTCCAGTCTCTTCTTAAAAACTTCCAGTATTGGAGCATTCACCACTTCTGGAGGCAGATTGTTCCACTGGTTAATTGTTCTAACTGTCAGGAAGTTTCTCCTTAGTTCTAAGTTGCTTCTCTCCTTGATTAGTTTCTATCCGTTGGTTCTTGTCCTGCCTTCAGGCACCTTGGAAAATAGCTTGACTCCCTCTTCTTTGTGGCAGCCCCTGAGATATTGGAATGCTGCTATCATGTCCCCCCTCGTCCTTCTCTTTGTTAAACTAGACATACCCAGTTCCAGCAGCCTTTCTTTATATGCTTTAGCATCCAGTCCCCTAATCATCTTTGTTGCTCTTCTCTGTACTCTTTCTAGAGTCTCAACATCTTTTTTACATCGTGGTGACCAAAACTGGATAATGACCTAGGTCAACCTAAAACCTTTGATTATAAATTGTACACATTTGTGTTTTACTTCTCATGGACAGTACTTTTGATATTAGTACTTGACCCAGAATACAAAACTACAACCTCCTGCCATATTTTTTAAGTAAATTATGTTTTCTGGACGTCAAGCCTGAAAACATACCCTTAAAACCTGACCTAGATACAGTATTATTACCTAAAAAAACCCTAATGAAGTTAGATTTTAATACTATAGCTTTTACAAGAATATGTTTCAGAATCCCCTTGTTTTGTTGGTTACTGTATTGGTTTCTTTTACACTTTTCAGTTGGCCTTCCAAGAAAGGACAGGTTATTTACTTTTAATACACACACTTATTAGATGATCTTCCTAAAGGTTCAGGGAAAGTTACTATAAACTAGATTTCCTGTAATTTCTTTCATGGCTGACCAACAATTGCAGAATTATTTTTTTCATTGCTTGGATTGGACACAGAAACCCACTATAAATCTGATTCTTATTTTAAGATTTATGTTTCAGCCCAAAGAGAATACAGCATGACTAATGATAGAAATAGAACATATACATTTAAAAACTCAGAAAAAAGATAAAATTACTGAAAATTAAGGTAGACTGAAATGTCCCAAATGAAAAAGAATGTCATGATTCCTTTCCTAAAAATCAGAAAGTATTGGGGCTGAACATAGCTCCGAACAGAGCATGCTTCATTTCCTGGGAACAACATAGGAAAAAAGAGACATAAGAGACAAGAGACATAACCAGAAATGAAATTACCTTAATGACTTTTGGAAAAATAGCCTATTCTGACATTTCATCTGGAACTGTTTCATGAACTTGGCAAATAATATCAACTCAAATGTTAGTCTTCAATAATTTACTGTCTTTCAAGGTTGCAGATGTTTATATACTACCACCTCTCCCATGCATTGGGAGGTTAATAATTCATGTTTCAAAAAGAAAAACACACCATTGATACCTATTGCATATTAAAATTAAATGAAGTTTTATCATAAGTAATTAAGGAACAAATAAGAAGGCAACAGTGCCTTAAATAAATGCCCTGTTATTTTTGATGGATGATTTGTGCACGAAGATGGCTCCACTAGAAAAATTAAGAAAATTAAGCACCATCACAGACATTTGTAAGCACTTAATTTTGAATTAAAATTGGTAAATGTGATGTGTTAAAGTATCATTGTGTGTTTATGTACGTGTTATTGTTTATCTATTATATTTTTTCATATAATTTTAAATATATATTCTATTTTAATAATGAAATAACATAATGACAAAAATTACTGGACTATCCTGGATAGTAAAAATAGTCTCAAATAGCATTTCACAATGCTAAAAGAAAGGCAGAACTTAACTTGAGGAATATTGATAAATGAAATGGAATTAAGCTATATAAAGATTTCATAGCTAGTTTTATGTTTGTATACTACTATAGGCAAACAATGCTGTGTTGTGGGCTGAGAACCCAAATAATTTCTGGCAAATGTTAGGAAGTAATCAATGCAATGAACCAAAAACCAAAGTAGTGAATATATTTTAGATATAAAAGGAAAACAAATAGATCAGTAGATGAATTTTTGTACCTTAGTAGAATCTACTGGGAAGGAATTCCTTCGAGTTGCAAAGTATGAATATTTAAACATGGTTCTATAATGTAAGGACATGCTTCTGTCCACACTAATATGGAAATTAGTTGAATATATCATGAAAAACTTAAAACCTAAATGAAGCAGTAACAGGATATTTAAAGAGGACACATGTCAAAATAAGATGAGATAGGGTAAAGAATGAATGAATGCTGAATGAATGAATGAATGAATTTTGCCCACTACATTTTACTGTTTTTTATAGTTCTCATAATGCTGCTTACTTCAGAAAGGAACAGTGTGATATACTTCTTATGCATTATTATGGATGACCTGCTCTGAAGGACACCCAATAAATTACTATTTATATTCAAGGATGAGCAGAAAATTTTAGGTGCCAAAATACACACAAAAGGACAGACTTGGCTTATCCACAGATGGGCTTATTCACAAGTATATATAGTAATTAGTTTATAAAACACCCATATTTCCCATATACACTCATGTATAAGCCCATTTACAAATAAGCGGGCGTTCAAATTTTTAACCGAAGTACTATGAAAAATGTGGGTTGACTTATCCACAATTTTTATAGTTTTTTGCTTAAAAATTCAAGTGTACTCATGGGAACTGATTATTGATGGACTGAAAAAGGCAAAAGTATGTCTTTTTTTAAAGTTGGGAGGGCAGGGGAAAAAGAAAAGTATACTTTGTCTACTACATATGTGTGTGTATAGTGTGTGTGTGTAAAGAATGTAAAGCCAGTAGGAAACTAAAGCTGAGAGCAGTTCTATCTTTCCCAAGTCATAAATTTCATTTAAACTGGCATGAGATAATCCATGTGTTTCAAGCTACAATATATTTTTAGAAAATAAAGCACTGTTGCTGAAGCAATTCCCCAGTGATTCAAGTAAGAGGAGAGAGAAAATAACCTATGAAATGGGATAAACAACAATTATGTACAAGCTAAAAAAGAAATGGACAGTCCACAAACTAAACAGGAAAGCAAAAAAAAAAAAAAAGTGCTTGAAATTCAGACACTAAAACAATATTGTAGTTGAGTTTTTCCTGCTTTGGATGTGTGTGCCACAAAACCCAAAGGTAATGGTATCCAACCATTGGAATG